CCAAGGCGGCACACACCACCCTGCTGCCCTTGGTGAGCACTGAGCCCTGTGTCTCACACAGACGCGGGTTCTAGATTCTGCTACCTCCCTATGAGGGAGCCTGTCACTCAGAGGCCCGGGTCCCCAAGGGGCAGCCAGTGGCAGAGGGGCTATGTGCTGGGGGCTTGGAGCCCTCAGGGCCAGGAAGGTCAGGGCTGCTCCCTTGCGTCATCTGAGGGGCATTTGCTGGGGTGACTTTTAAGGTCGCAGACCTCCTTCCAGGGAGGGGTCCGCGTGTTGCATCGTGGCAGAAGTGGCCGGCCTGGTGCAGGGGGCTCACGCAGGGTGGCGGTGTGGCAGGGCCGGGAGCTTTCTTTCCCAGCCGGCCATGAAGCTGCTCGTGGAAGCAGGCGGCAAATCCACATCAGGACGTGCGAGGTAGGTTCCCTCTGCAGGGCCCTTTGGCTTGACGAAGCAGAAGGGGGACAGGGAGGGCAGGCGCCCTTCTGCTCCCTGCAGCCCCACTGGAAGCCCGCGCTGCCCTCCACATGCGCGGCAAGTGGCAAGTGACCTGGCAACAGTTGAGAATTGGAGAAACACAGGTGTTGGAACTTTCTGAGAAAAGCTGTAGTAACCAGTAATAGAAATTAAAACATTCTGTTTCACCAAAAATACAGTTTAAAAGTAAGGGCAGAGAACAGAGGTGAGCACAGAGCTACAGGAAGGGCTGGGCGGGAGCAATCCCGCACGCTGCAGCATGGACCAGACCCCGCCGCTCGGGTCCCCAGCCCCGACGCACGCGTGCGTGCAGCGCGTGCAGTGTGACTGCCTTGTCTATAGTCCCAGCCCGTGAAGTTTTAGGAGTTTCGTTTCCTCCCGACCCTCCATTTCCTGCTGGGCGCCTCTCTGCCCTGTCGGCTCCCACTGGGCCTGGCCCAAGAAGAGTGACCGTTGAATCAGCCCTCCTTGACTGGCCTGAGCACTTCCCTCACTCCTCTGCCTATCACATCCTGAAGCCATCTCTTCACTCAAAAGTGGGCTTTTGGGAAATAAGGCAGTCACATCAAGCAGCGCTTGTGATGCGCGGAGCAGCGGTTTGGGCCCTGGGGCCGCAGCATTGCGCAGAAAGCATTATCCTGGCTCAGTATATTTTCAAAGAATCACAATGAGATTTAAGTAATAAAAACATCCTCTACTGCAAAGTGCTGCCTGCGCTCTGCTTCCTTCCTTCGTGGAGACCCGGGTCTCCCTGTCCTGGGATCTGAGATCACTACGCCTAAGCACCCGAGTCGCCATGTGGGCATGAGGCGGGTGGTGTCACCACCACCTGGGGGCTGGGGGAGCTGGGCAGGAGGGGGCTGGACACTGGCCCTGTGGGCACTGGAAGGGGTGACAGGAGTGTTCGTGGTCACGTCAGTGCAGTCTTGCAGGACCGAGAGCTGCTGTCTGTGTCATGGCTGTCCTCGTTTCTCTCTGAGCCCCGTAGGGTGGCACCACGCTCTTGGTTTTGGGAACAAGCCAGGACCCTGGTGTCGAGCTGTTCCTGGTCACAGGCCAACTTCTCTGTTCCGACCACTGGCATGTGAACAGATAGATATTTCGTTCTCTCTAAACAGTCTCACAGGGGCCCCCGGTGCGGTTTTGTTGGTGAGAGAAGCCCAGGAAGGCAGGGAGGGCAGGGCCGCGCCTTTGCTTGAGGTGGGTGTGTGCGAAGAGCAGGGGCCGTGGGCCCAGGCAGGGGGTCTGTGTACCCCAACTGCCTGTCACATGACCTCTGGCAGCCAGGCAGGAGCCAGGTGCCACTCAGAGCGGCAGCACTGCCATCAATCCATTTCCACTGTCCAGCGTGGCTCTCAGCATGTCCCTTCTCTTGCGGGGTGAGGTCTGACACCAACTCTCAGAAAGGTTTGGAAAACTGGTCCTGACCTGCGAGCTGATTCCATGGCTTGCTGACAGTTCTGGTCACAGTTTCAGCCGTGACGACGGCCGTCCTGTGGAGGAGGCAGTTGATGAGAACAGCTGCTGCAGAGGCGCAGATGCGGAAATGCCAGCCTGCCCTGGTCACCAGGCGGAGAATGGGGCATTGTGACTGCCGCTCAGAGCTGAGCTTTCAGACGTGAAGCTGAGAGACGCTCATTGTCCAGAACCTGGAGATGTTGTTGAAACAGCCGGAGAGCGGGGCTGGGCCTTCTGGACACGATGGCTGAGTCAAGACTTGTTTATTCTGTTTCCTTCTCTGGAACTCGCTGAAATGAACAAAAAATGAAAAATAGGGAACAAGATTTAAGCCAGAGGAGGATGTCAGCCAGCCGGGGAGGAGGGGCGAAGGCCAGAGCCCTGAGTGGGACTCAGTGCACTGAACAAAGAGGATTTCTAGGGACACAGCTAATGCCATCGACTGGACAGAGGGGCTCGTGGTGTGGGTGGTCCTTGAGAGAGAGCGTGTGTGGGGTCTGGTGAGGGAGGGGAGCTCAGGTGCTCCATCGGCCTTTCTACGCGACCCAGAGCCCAGGCGGGATGCAGAAAGAGAGACGGGCAGGCGCAACTCCGGAGCGCCTCAGGTCCAGTCACCAGGATATTTGGGGCCCGTGCTGTCCCAGGGCAGGGCTTCCCAGGGAGGCACCTTGCAGGCGGACAGTTGCCCTCGAGGGGCTGTGGCTTGCAGGGGGGCCTTCTGCATGCCGCCGGAGCCCACCTTCCTGCCCCTCTACCTTGCAGCACCCTTCAGAAGCCTTAAAGGGACCCTCTTGCTGGAGCCAGAGGAACGGAGCTTCGCGCGGCCCGAGCAGAGCCCTGAGAGCAGGCAGCCTCGGCCCTCCCCCGAGTCCAGCACTCACAGGACCTCCCCCAGATCGCCCGGTCAGGCCAGGATGCAGGGCTCTGTCTCCAGTTTCAGTCGAGTTTCTGTCATTTGCAACCGAAAGAATGTCCTAATAGCAGAAACTCATTTCCGGAGCAGAGCCTGAAGAAAATTTGGCAACAGAGCATTCTAGAATGATGCACTTGATTTGAGTCCGCCCTAACTCCTGTCCCTTTCCTTATTTGAAAACGAGCGATAACCAGGAGCCAACATGGGACCCTGATGTAGAGAAAGAGAAGAAAAAGGACAATGGCTGCAGTGAAATCGCTGGTGAAGAAGACATTTAAAAGAATCAACCCCGGAAGCAGAAGAGAGAGAACCTTTTCTGTATACTAAAAAATACAAATTCAAAATACATAAAGAGAAAAGAGCTCAAACGGAAGGCACGACAGCAGAAGGACAGGCAGTGAGCTGGCGGAAGCGAGAGAGAAAATTAAAGGCAAAAACCTGCTACAAACTTGGGGGCCCAGTTAGCAACAGCGAATAACGGGCAGGCACCACCAGAACAGAAGTGGTCGCCAGAGGACAGCTGCCTGGGAAACATGCTGCGCAGAGGGAGACAGACAGATGTGGTCTGAGAAGACCAGAGCCGGAGGGCTTCGGGGAGACCCATCGGCCACCGCGGGCATCAGAGTTGGAGGAGAGCCAGTGTCCAGGGATCGAGGGACAAGTCAGGCAGGACCTCCCTGGAATGATGGCGAGGAGACTGTGACATGGAGAGGGCACATCACGTTTCTGGAAGAACTGGATACGAAATGACCAGCGCCAGGACAGGACCTGGTAAGTTAGCCGAACCCGTTGGCAGACCCATCTGCCTCATTCCCCGCTCCAGAAGGCAGCAGAGCCAAGCCAAGCGGCGAGTGGAGAGAGAAGCGCTCTCCGGGGATTCACTCCAAGCCCAGCCTCAGGATGGGGCGTCCTGCCTGGCTGAGGTGAGTCTGCCGGGTGCCCTACGCTGCACCTTTGGAGAGAAGGTGCCGTGGGGGTCACTTGCTCCTCCTTGAGGACAGATGACGGGTTGATCAGACAAGGTCCTTAAAACAGTTATAATTACAGTCCATATGTTCAAAAGCTAAGGGAAATATTGACCACATTAAGTAAAGACATGGTGAAGCAAACACAGTTAACAATCCAAACTAAACTTCTAGAGTTGAAACTAACCTGCCTGAATGCAAAACATACTGGGTGGGATTAACAGCAGATTAGGCATTGCAGAAGAAAAGATGAGTGAACTTGAAGACAAGCAGTAAGACGATCCAAACTCTAAGACAAGGAGAGGAAAAGTAACTTTAAATAAACAGAAGCCAAAAGAGTATGACTGAGATGTGGGACAATGGGCAGAGCACTAATGTTTGTGTAACTGGAGTTCCCAAAGGAGGAGGGAGGGACCAAAAAACTACTTGAAGGAATGATAGCTAAAAAGCTTCCAAATTTGATGAAAACTGTAAACCTAGATAGAACAGTCTTAACAAACCGTAAGTACAAGAAGCATGAATGAAATCATACAAAGTACATCAGATTCAAATCACTCAAATCCAGCGATGAAGAGACAAGTCTTAAAGCAGGCAGAAAAAAAAGACAAAGGTTTCCTCTGCTGTCCAAAACTTCAGCCGCGCATGAAACCTTCCGGCATGAAGCGGACAGGCAGCCTTACGGCGTGGCTTGCCTTAGGGCACTGCTTGCCAGCAGATGGATGCACAGAGTCAATCAAGGTGAGGCTCAGGTGCTTGCAGACAGCTCAGTGCCGCAGCTCAGTGCCGCGGTGCTGAGTGCCGTGTCTGGGTAGGAACGGGCGGGGCCCCTCTCCCTGCTTGGCCTGCCTCTTTTCGTGAAGGAGACAGTCCTCTTCGGATTCCTTCTCATTAGCGAACAGGCACTGATGTAGTAGGTCTTTTGTAGAAAGGAAGCGGCGTGAAGTGCACGTTCAGGACGTGGGAGGTGCCTGTGTTACACCCAGGGGAGCACATGCAGACGCCCGCAGGTTTCTCTAGAGACAGCGCAAGTGGGGGGGTGGGGGGGGCGGTGTGTGCAGGTGCTAGACGAAGACTGTCAGCCTGGAGTTCGGTGCCAGTGTGAGTGCTTCTTTAAAGGTAATTATTTAAATAACAGCAATAACAATGTAGTGGAGTATGTCGGGGGGTGGGTGGGGGAGGTGTACAACATACACTGAATAAGATGTGACAAAATGGCACAAAGGCCCAGAGAGGAGAGATGGCAAACTCGTGCCTGAAGTGGAGCAGTTTCACTCGCTGCTGGACCGTGATAGATTACATGTGGACACTGCGCCCCTAAAGACGTCTACTGAGATAGCTGAGCAGTGATTACATGCAGCTGATAACAGCGGAGATAAAACTGAATCGTGGAATACGTAATCCAGGAGGAGACAGAGGAAAGTGGAACGAAGAATGGATGGGCCAAACGGAAAACAAGTAGCAAAGTGGTGGACTTCAACCTAACCATGCCGACAGTCACAAATCTAGATGTTTTAAACACCCTAATTAAAAAGGCAGATGTCAAACTGCATAATAAAGCCCTACCCAAACATATGCTGGCTACAATAAATCCACATTAAATATAAAGACACAAGCAGGTTAAAAGTAAAAGGAATGCAAAGACATTCAATTCTTACACTAAGGAAAATAAAGCTGGAGTTGCTATAATACCAAATGTGCTGATTTTAGAGCCAAGAAAAGTACCAGGTAAAGATATTTCTTGAAGAGATTAATTCATCAAGAACACACCATAAATTTTATGCACCTAATAGCAGAGCTATAAAACATAAAGCAAACAGCTGATAGAATTGCAAAGAGAAATGGAGAAATCCACAATTTTAGTTGGAATTCCCAAGACCCCTTTCTCAGTAATCGGTAGAACAATCAGGAAGTTAGTGTTGGCACTGTCTACCAGCCCGACCTGGTTAACATTTGTAGAACGCCCAAGAGCATGTTTATTCCACTGCATGTGAAATATTTACCAAGACAGACCGTTTTCCTGCTCCATAGATATTCTGACAAAAGAGTTAAATTAGAAACCAATAAAAATATCTAGGAAATCACCAGGTATTGGGAAAGTAAAAAAAACTTCTGTATAATTCGTGAGTTAAAAGAGAATCAAAAGGGCAATTAGCTTTTGAACCGGATGAGAATGAAAATGCAGCATGTCACAATTTGTGGGATGTCAGCAAAGCGATCAGAAAGGGAAGAGGCGCCATCGCTACAGATTCTGTTGATCTTAAAAGGATAATAAATGAATAGTCTGACAACTTTATGCTAATAAATTTGACAATTTGTATGAAACGAATAAATTCCTTGAAAGACAAAGACCACTAAAGCTCACTCAAGAAGAAATTCAAAGTCTGGTTAGTTCTCTCTTAAGTAAATTCAATTCTTAATTAGAAACCTTCCCGCAAAGAAAACTACACACCCAGATGGCTTCACTGGTGTGTTCTACCAAACATCTGAGGAAGAAATAATAGCAATTTTACACCAACTCAGTAAAGTGATCCAGATCAGAAGGGAAATAGTAAAATTGTCAGTGTTCACTGTTGACATAATCATCTATGTATAAATTCTAATAAAATCTGCCCCCCCCAAATGGGGGGTGGCAATTAGAACAAAGAAGTGAGTTTAGAAGGGTTATGGGTACAAGACCAATATGCAAACTGGACTGGCAACAAACAATTGGAAATTGTTTTCTATATTGTTAGCATCAACATGTGAAATACTTATGGATAAATTTGCCTAAATATGTACAAGACAAGCACACTAAAAACTGCAAAACACTGCTGAAAGGGTCTAAGTGGGGGGAGGTGACATGTTTGTAGATGGAAAATTCGATATCGTTGTAAAGTTAGTTCTCATACTGATGCACAACGTGACACAGCTTCTGTCAAAACCCCAGCAGGGCATCTGGGAGAAACTGGGAAGCTGATTCTGAAGTTCACGTGGAAATGCAAAGGACCTAGACTAAAACAACTTCAAAAATGAAGAGCAAAGCTGGAGGATGAACACTAGCTGATTCAGACCCAGGATGTTTGGGGTCACCAAGACGTGGTGTCTGTCCCAGATCGGAGAAGGCCTTCTGGAAGAGATGGTGCAGGAGTTGACTTGGAGACAAGAGGACCAGTCTGCCACTCACCGAGCCCTCTGCTTTTGACCAGCCTGAAGGGCGGGATGAGGACTGAAAAGAGATGAACAGGTGGTTGATTTGAATTGCTTTTGGGTTATGGTAGATGTTTTTTAGTTTCTCACAATTTCGCTAACACTGCTGTTGTTGTTTTTTAAAATGTGGAAGCCATATGAGAAGGTCGTCTGTTTTCTCTCAAATAAGAAATGAGAAGTACTTTAGTTTCACTTTTAGAGATGGCATTCCTAGGGCAGCAGGGCCTCCGATAACGTCGACTCGTTCAGTGTTGCTTGGTCATAACGTTGATACGATGCCCTAGGTAGGCACTTCTGTTTGCATCCGTTAGCCCTTGGGAAAATTGGTTTTGCTATGCACCTTGCCACAGTAAAGTCACAGACCCGTTGACGGTAAGGACGCTGCAGTCCAGGGCATTTACGTCGGTAGTGGCGTGGACGTTTGAGTGGGAGCTTTCCTCCAGGGGCATCTCCCACTGCAAACTGTGGGGCTCAGGCCACAGTCGCCTGGCCTTTTGGAGTGTGTCCGGCCTGCATTCTCTTCCTGGCGCCGCTGCCCGGCCTCTGCTTCGGACTTGTTTGATTTCCCAGCCTGGGGCAGTGGGCTCTTTGGACCCGCCCCTTCCAGAGGGAGCCCTCCGAGTACCTGCTAGGCCAGTGGGAAGCCCGTGGTTAGTGCTTGCGCGCTCCCCCGGGCTGGCGTCCGCCACTGGCGCCCAGAGGCAGCTGCTTCTGACACCTTGCCTCACAGGTGACCGACAGCACAGGTGACCCCCGGTCTCGAACGTGACGCCCGGTATTGTGCTGCGTTCATCTGGCCATCTGGCTTTTTAAAATATTTTTTAGTTTCAAGTATACAGTACATTGGTTAGACATTTATATAGTTTATAAAACAATCCCCCTAATTGCTTTTTATCTCTGGTTTTCCATCTAGCCATTACATTAATGCTAACTGCATTCCCTATGCCCTGTTCCCCATCCCCATGACCATCTATCAACTACTAATTTGTACTTCTTTAACCCTTCACCCCATTCTCCCAGCCCCCAAACCCCTCTCCTCTGTCCGTAACCAAATTGTACTCTGTATTTGAGTCTGTTTTTGATTAGTTTGTTCTTTTTGTTGCTTAGATTCTGCATATAAGTGAAATCATATGGTATTTATCTTTGACTTATTTTACTCAGCATAATAACCTCTAGGTCCATCCATGTCATTGCAAATGGTAGGATTTCATTTTGTTAATGGCTGAGTAATATTCCATCGTACATATGAACCGTAACTTCTTTATCCAGTCCTCTCTTGATGGGCATTTAGGTTGCTTTCATATCTTGGCTATTGTACATTGTGCTGCCATGAATATTGGGGCGCATAGATCTTTATGAATTATTGTTTTGGTTTTCTTTGGATAAATACCCAGAAGTGCAGTTGCTGAGTCAGAAGGTAGATCCATTTTTAAGGTTTTGAGAAACCTCCAGACTGTTTTCCACAGCGGCTGCACCAATCTGCTGGCGTCTGGCTTTTGTCTCCCACTTCTGCCTGGCAGCTTCAGTAGGTCGTCGTGGGGACCTCCCACGCGCACTTGCGTGTCCTTCTGCTGTGAGGAACAGATGGCAGTTTCTCCTTTGGGACACGGCGACCAGGGCTGCAGGGAACGCTGTGTGGGGTCGGTGCGCGTCGGTTGGCCTCCCCGGCCTGCATCACTGGCGTGGAAGCCCGGGCCGTGGCGCTGCGGTGTGCCGCTCGGGAGACGCTGCGGCCCGCGGTCGGGCCGGCTGTCCCAGCAGCCTGCAGCCCTGGACGAGCCTCCACACTCTGGCCAGCACGTGACGGGTTCTCTTTTCCATTTTAGCCATTTTGGTGGGTGTGTTAGTGTCCATTATGCTTGTAATTAAAAGTTCCCTGATGACTAATGAGGTCGAGTTCATTTCTGTGTGTTTTTTAGCTATTTGGATATTTTTTTGTGTGCAGTATGTGTTCAGGTCTTTTGTCCATTTCTCTATTGGATTATATGTCTTTTTCTTATTTATTTCTAGAAGTTTTTGATGTGTTCTGGAAGTAGTTTTTGTCAGATTAGACGCACGAGCGTGTCTCTGTGGCGTACGGTGCACACTCTATAGCATGTACCCCCCCATCGTGGACTTGCCTCTGTATTCATAATGCAACATCGATAAACAGAGGCGCTGTACTTTATTATAGCTCAACTTATTAAATTTTCTTTTGTGGTTGGCGTTTTTTGGTGTCTGATTAAGACCACAAAGATTTTCTTCTGCATCTTTTCTGAAAACCTTATTGTTTTACTGTTAACACTTAGATAGACAGTTTACCTAGAATTGAGTTTTGTGTATTGGATGAGGTTTGGGTCAGGTTCATTTTTTCCTGTTTATACGTAATGGATACAACACTATTTTTGAAAAATCCGCTCTTCGGCATAAATTGGGTGACCCTACGTGGGCATTACTCTGTCAGAGCTGGTGCCCTGTGCCTCGCCCAGGTTTCCGGTGTTGCCAGGGGTGTGGTGCCGTGCCTGTTGGACAGCTGAGGACACCACGTCTCAGGCAACAAGCAGCTTGCCTGGGGTCAGCGATCGAGAGGTCTGGCTGCCTTCTTGTGGGCTGGCAGGGGCTGATCCTAGCCGGGGTTCAGGGGCGGGGTACAGGGAGCTCAGATGCCGACTTAGGGTGCCATCTCTCATCCTCGCCATCGCATGGGTCCGTGAGGGACTGGCCTGCACTGTTACCAGTTCTCAGATCCCAAAGGCGTAATAAGCTGTGTGCTGAACTTATAGGCTTAGACACTTCTGCTCTCTCGCAGGGCGCTGCCTTCCTGACTGACGCTGGAGGGGACGCCCTGATGAGCAGCTGAGACTGTGCCCTGGGCCCTCAGCAGAGACGGCGATGTCCCAGACACAGGATTACGAATGCGAGAGCCATAATGCCGGCGTGCAGGAGCCTCGGCTTTCGGGATCGAGCACCAGGTGAGGAGAAGTCATGGCAGGCGCGCCTGGGTCGTCAGGGGACTGGTGGAGTGGGGCATGTGCCCCTTTCACAGGGGCGGGGCTCCTGAAGCGGCTGTGTCGGGGACGAGCTGCTCTCCCACCTGCACGTGGCGAGACTGGGGCCGCTTTCCTTTCAGAGGTGACTTGTGCTTGCTCTGAACGTGGCATCCTCCCACAGAAGCCCAGGTCCCCAGGGGCGGCCCCCACTTCCGGCCACAGATGCAGTGCAGAGGGAAGGCCTTCTCACGCAGGTGGATTTGGTCACATGGGCCCAATCCCTTATGCCCCCTCTGGCCATCGATCCACGCCAGCTGCAGTTCATCGTTTTTGGTTTTCTGATCTTTAACTTTATTTGGCAGCAATTCTGCCCTTGCGGAAAAGTCGCAAGCACAGGAACAGTGCACTGTACAGCCATGTCCCCGGGCTTGCAGCCACCTCCCCACACACACGCTGTTCTCCAAGTCGCCTTGGGGAGGGTCGCAGATGTCATGGCCCAGTGTTGGCTCACAGCACCCAGGACAGGTAGCACCGTGAGTCAACCTGTGCCGAGTGCGGCCTCCCTCCCTGCTGCCGCCCGCCTGGCTTCGGCAGCTGGCCCCCTGCCGGCCTTGGCCGCATTCCCGGGCCCTGCGGCATGCGCTTCCCCCACGGGCGCACACCCCGCCGCACGTCTGCTCGCCTCTCCGTGATCTGGAGGCTTTCCACAGCCTTTCTGTGTCTTTCGTGACACCAACACCTTTAAAGGTAATAGTTGCCCTTTTTAAACAGAGCGCTCGGTTTGGGATTGTCTAGGGACTTCTTAGCCGGGTGCCACGCACTGGTGTCGCGTCCTCCTCAGCCGTCCCCTCTGCAGGCAGACGCCCCATCCCGGCCCGCGGCCGCGCGCCCCAGGCTGCCGTGACTGCTTTCCCCGCGCTCCCCTCGCTCTTCGGTGTTTTCATCACTTCTCTCGTGCTCCCATCTTTCCGGGGACAGGTGCAGAATGCCAGCGTCCCAACCCTAGCACCCCGTTACCGTGCGAGAACATGAGCCCCTCCCTGTGCCTGCACGCATTCATTCGTTCCCGGTTTGGACTCGGGATTTCCTTTTTGTTTTACACATTTGTGGTTCACTCCTGCACTTCGTCGCTTTACATTCTTGCCGCCCCGGCTTGGGCCGGTGAGGTTCCTTCAGGCTGTTTCCTGTCGCCTGTGTGCGCGTGATTCTTGGATTCCTTCCTCCTTCTGGCCTAACCACATGCTCCAGGCACATCTCGTACCGCCAGCCCTGCCCCGAATCAGCTGTTTCTCGAGGAGCCCTGCCTCCTTCTGGGAAGGCGTGTTGGAAGACCAGCCGGCTGCTCGGTGCACTGTGGCTCCAGCAGCGTGTTCGCTTCTTGGACCTTTCAGCAGGCAGAGTAGAGAGTGTGCATGAATGTGCACATGAGCACACACGTGGACGCAAAATTCACATGCATTAGAAACACTGAGTTTTCACTGACACCGTCGATGGCAGTGTGCTCCCAGGGGCCGTTTTCTGGCCATCTTCTGGTGCACAGCTGTGTCCTCTCTCTTGTGGCGAGAACCCTGCTCCCAGGAGCATCAGCGCACTGACCCGTTTGCTTCTCTCGTGATGCGTCCAAAGCCGTTTCAGAATTGCTTCGCCCCTTCCACTGCGACAGTGTGCACACACACACACTTTTGAAAGTTCGGGATTTATTTGCACCTCCCACATGCACAGTCCACCCAAGAACGGGAGCGCAGAGCCTGGTCCTGTGTTCACAGTTACTCAGCAACCACTAATCTACTTTCTCTCTTTGAATTTCTTCTGGACAATTTGAATAAATGAATCGCATAATACTAATCTTTTGTGTCTGGCTTCTTTCACTGTAGTAGTGTCTTCAGGGTTCATCCACGTGGTGACACGTGTCAGCACTTCCTCTCTCTCTACGGCTGAGTGACACTCCACTGTACCGAGAGCCATTTCCTCCTCCGCTCATCAGGCCACAGCGTTTGGGTTGTTTCCCCTGTGGCTGTCGTAAACAAGCTGCTGTGAACGTTTGTGCACGGCTTCGTGCGGACGCACAGTCGCCCGCTCCTCTTGGGTAGACGCCTCAGTGGAGCTGCTGAGTCCTGTGGTAACTCCGTGCTTGATTTTCTGAGGAACTGCCAAACTTTTCCAAAGTGGCTCTGCCATTTTACGTTCCCACCAGCAATACGTAGAAGTTCCCGTGTTCCCACATCCTCTCCGATACTTTTTGTTATGGTTTTTAAAAAATCGTTACATAGCCATCCTAAGTGAGCATCGGGTTGGCGATTGTGGAGGCCGGGCTTGGAAGGTGTGTCCCTGGAGATGAGGGCCCTGGGCTCCCACTGGGGGCTCTTGCCACCTCTGCACAGCCTTACAGGTTCACTAGTGAGACCCAGGGGCCCAGAGACAGCTGTGTCCTGATGACACCGCTGACGGGTCTACCTCCTGTCCTGTGCTTCTAGGACACCTTCTCCCAGCCTCTGTCCCAGATGCCCACCCAGCCTTGCTCTTCCTTCTGCAGGAGGACCAGTGTGTGACGGACAGTGGCTGTGGGCAGGCACAGAGCTCCCCCAAGAGCGGCCCAGTGTGACGCAGGTGGAGGGGAACAGCTTATAGAGTGGACACATTTGCCGGGTTACACAGGGCTGAGACTCAGGGCAAGGACACCCAGAGAAGCAGCAGTTCCCTAAGGGGGTACTCCCGGGGTCCTGCCAGTCCCCTGGGGTCTGAGGCTTCGTCGATGGGAGCAGAGGGGGAGTGGCACGGGGTGAAGGGCTGAACCACACACTGACTGAGGGTCTCAGGGGAAAGCTGTTGTTACGGAAACCCCCGCTGCTCTCCAGGTTCTCTTTGAGGCAGTTGTTGGGACATTTGTGGACAGGAAACGAGAGGGAGGTGTGAGGCTTCAAGGGTGCCGAGCGTTGTGCGTTGTACTGTGGACGGGGTGGGCACCGGCGCCCAACTTCCCCATCGTGAGTTCCCCCAATAGTACGTAGCAACCCTGCCACAAAAGGGCCACGTATCAGGAAATGGCCACGACCAGTGAGACCCAGTAGCAACAGGCCCATACAGATGCCAGCATTGGAATGATCAGACACAGGATACTATGTTTAAAGAAATAAGAGAGGCTTACCAATGTGAGCAAAGAGCAGGAGACCCTAAACAATGAGAGTGGAGATTTGGAAAAGAACCAGCAGATTAAACACAGCTGAAGAGAGAATTAATGAAGTAGAAAGAGGAACTACAGAAATGACCTGGAATGAGGCAGATGACTGGAGATGGGGGGTGTGAGCCACATGGAGGCATGGGGATCCTATGAAAAGCGTGTCTGTCGGGCTTAATGTGGGGGTTCCAGAAAAAGAGTCAAGGGGTTGAGGGGTCATGTTTAAAAAGATGGAGAATTGTCCAAAAATTGTTTAAAGATTCCAACCCTCGGATCCAGGAGTCCCACAAGTCCTTCATTTCGATATTATAGTGAAACTATAGAACACAAAAGGAGAGTGGTTCTTTTTAACCATTCATCTGCCAAGTAGTTTGTGTTTGCTCTACCGATAATTACATTGTTTTGTGGCAGCCTGACCCTGCCTGGCCATTTCCTGCTCGAACAAGTTAGTTCTAGACTAACCCCCCAGGACTCTCTGGCTGACGTCAGTTTTCGCATAGCTTGGCAGCCAATCAATGTTCTCCTTCCTTATATCAAGCTGTACGAATGCGGAAGTGCGGGACTGTGTAAAACAGCCGGCAGTGTTACAATCAGGGCCCAGCCTTTGGATAAGAATCCGCTGAGCCTGTGCCGGCGTCAATAAACGCTGCTTCCTGCTTACAGCCTCAGTGTCCCATCTCTCTGTTCGAGAATCTCGCAACAGTATCATATGCAAATGGCAACAAGTCAGTTATTCCTTGTTTATTCACAAGTGAATCTGTAGTAAATTATTAGAGTCGATAGAAAACTCACTAAGCTTGCTTATAAAACCAATACACAAGATAAACTGCATGTCTGTACACCAGCAACAATCTGAAAATTATCTATAAAGTTAACTGCAAAAATTGAGAAACAACAGGCAGGCCAGGATGTGGAGTGACAGGCAGTGCTGTGCACGGCTCCAAATAACACAAGTCGGTGTCCCCTGGACAGTTGGGGCCCACTCCTGGGACCCAGAGCCCCACCTCTGTGCATGCAGCCGGAGTCCACATACAGGATGTTCACAGCACAATTGTGAGAAATAATCCCCAAAGGCAGACAGCCCAGATGTCCATCAGCACGGCTGACCAGCAGGGACGAGTTTGTTTTAAGTGAAAGAAGCAAAGCACAAAAATATAGTTTTCCTGCATGAATATGTAATTCAAAATTAGATACACCTAAACTGGTTTGTTTAGGGTTACCCTCAAATATGGTAAAACTTTGAAAGCAAGGAAGTGACTGCTTTCAAACTCGGCGGTCCCCTTGGGGTGAGCAGACGTGTGATGTAGGGGGTGTCTGGGATGCTGCCTTATTTTATTTCTTGATGAGTGATGGCTATACAAGTGTCAGTTCATAATTGCTCATTATACTTATCTTCATGTCCTGTACATGTTTCTGTGTATATGTCATGGTATTATTTTTAAAGAGTTGTTTACATTTATAATAAGAGTACCATTTACAATCACAAGTGTGTGTATATATAAAACCTAGGAATAAATCTGACAAAACACGTTCATACCCTTTAAAGAAGACATGAATGAGTGGATACACTGTGATTTGGGTGGGAGACTAAATCGTGACAAAGGCTTTTTTCTTTTCTCCTGGAATAGATCCAGCAAAGGTGCCAACAGAGTTTGTGCACATCAACAAGCTGATTCTGCAGTTTGTAGGGGAGAACAGAGTCACACACAAATAGCCAAGACATGACTGAAGAAGCAGAGGACGTGGGGACTTGGGAAATGCACACTGTGCAAAGCTACCATGATTAAGACAACGAGGTGCAGGTCAGAGAAGGTTTGACCAGCAGAGCCAGCAGAGAGCTCAGACACAGGTGCACTGGCACTGTCCATCATGGAGTGCCCTGGTTTCTTACGTGGGGAGTGTGCAATGTCACCCGGTAAACAGAAACAACCCAGGCAGATTAGGGCTTCAACGTGACAGGCAAAGCTATAAAACTTTGCAAGTCAGCTTCGAATGTTTTCGACTTAACAGGTAGGAAATCTTAAGATTTAAGATTCTTAAACACAGTAGAAAGGAGAGAAATCATAAAGGAAATGACATAAATTCAACTATACTAAAATTAAAAACTTTTCATCAAAGAGCGAAGCCACCATAAAGAATGAAAAGGTAAGCTGCAGGAGAGATTTGTAATACAATATAACCAGGAGATTGCTATCGAGAATACATATATATTTTAAAAAAATACAACTGCAAATTAGAAAAAAAATTTTAATGGGCAAAAGTCACATGTTTTTATTAAATGAAAAATATATATAATTCATGAATATGAGAAAGGTGCTTGACCTCATTAATCAGGGAACATTTGAAACCGCATGCATGGGAATTCATCATGCTAATCGGTTTTTACGATGTTCGAAAATTTCCATTACAAGAGAAAAAATTTGGTGTAAAATTGTACCATGTCCCACTAGTCCTGGACAACCCCTTCTGATACTTGCTGTGACCTTTCCCGCAAATTTCTATACAAATATATAAACACTTGGCTTTTTTTTTAAGGATCTATATAGCTTCATTTAATCATTAACTGTGGATGTCCTTCCCTGACATTAAAATACGCATCCTCACCAGAACCATTGACCGCAGCCCCAAGGAGACACCCAGAGACCCCACCGCCAAGGAAAGACCAAGGCCAGTGTGAGAGTGTGTAGGTGATGGAAATATTGTGCACTAAGTGTTTAAAACTTTAAAAACTGATACCGAAAATGTTATTGTATGCCATAATTGAAAAATATACTATTATTTTTTAAAATTTTTACAAGAGTTTATTTGAGCCAAACTGATGACATATGCTAGGGAGCAAGATCTAAAATGCTCCTCAAAAAAATACACTATTTTAATAGGGGATAATTTATCTTAATTTTTTTCCAATTGCAAAAGTAATCATTGTAGAAATTTGGAAGTTACAGCAAAGCAGAAAAATGTCACGCTGTCACATCGCAGCAGCCATCTCTTTATTGTAGGACACTCAGGACAGAATTCCGACCATACATGTGGGGGGGTAACGGAAGCAGGTCATCGCATTTGGCCGGTAGCACCATAATGATTGCTGCAGGCAAGACTGGTCCCCGATGCTGAGCGTGGTGAGAAGCAGGACAGTCACGCACAGTGTCTCACCACGCAACCCTTGCCGCCCCTGGAGGAAGAGCAGCAGTGCGGTGTTGGAGAAACGGGGAGGAGGGGGCTGTCGGCTATGGGACAGAGCGAGCCCCGCCTCCTCCCCCTACCCCCCTCTGCTCCTCTGCATCCTCACGCCAGACCTTGACCTTTGCATGTGTAGTGTGAGGTGCAATGTGGGGAATCAGGAGGAAGACTGTTTTTCTAACTTTTCTGTAAATCAGAAATTATTTTTGTTACGGACTGATTGTGTCAACCCCAAATTAGGAGGTGCAGGGCCAGGGGTGCGGAGCCTGCCCCTGCCCGCTCCGCCCGCGCTGACCCTGCCGTTCTCTCCCAGGCTGGAGTGGGTGGAGATCATCGAGCCGCGTACCCGCGAGCGCATGTACGCCAACCTGGTCACCGGCGAGTGCGTGTGGGACCCGCCGGCCGGCGTCCGCATCAAGCGCACGAGCGAGAACCAGTGGTGGGAGCTCTTCGACCCCAACACGTCGCGCTTCTACTACTACAGCGCCACCACCCAGCGCACCGTGTGGCACCGGCCGCAGGGCTGCGACATCATCCCCTTAGCCAAGCTGCAGACGCTGAAGCAGAACACCGAGTCCCCGCGCGCCTCGGCGGACAACAGCCCGGGGCGCGGCAGCAGCGTCAGCCGCGACGGCAGCACCAGCTCCTCCCTGGAGCCCGAGCCCGACGCTGGCGAGAAGGCGCAGGAGCAGCTGGGGAGGAGCCGGCACGCGGCCTTCGGCGCTGTGAAGGAGGACAGCGGCAGGTGAGGCCCGGGCAGGGCAGGTGCGGCGCAGGGCAGGTGCGGCGCAGGCCGCCTCTTACCGGAGGCGGTGGAAACCGCAAAGTGCCCGAGACCCGATTTGCGCTGTGGGGCCCGTCTTGCTCCTCTGAGAATGACACACAAGGGCCTGGCACCAAAACTGGCCACCGAGAAGTGGCAGGGCCATTGCAGACGGCATGCGGATTTGGTGCATTGGGGACTGCACAGCTGGCCATGGTGCCCCAGCTCGGGCTGGGGAGGGCAGGGCGCACACGGGATCAGAGGCCAAGGAGATGTCCGCAGCTCGGTGGGTCTGCGTGGCTCCGGGGGTCACCTGGAGTCGTCCCCAGAAAGTGGACCTTCCATCACGGGAGCCACGGCCCCAGGGATGAGCAGGAGGAGAAAGCAGATGGCACGTGTGCTGGGTGTGACCTCTGGTGTCCTGTTCTGTTCCTTCTTACCCAGGGCTCAGAGAATGGCTCATTTTTATTGGATTGTGATGATTTTGAGTTCTTTATAGTTCTTTACTCATCTGCGTAATTAGGTAAAGAGACTGGGTTCTTTTAGGGTTCAGTTGCCAAATGTCTTTGTCACCCACACGCTGGGGCTGGGCCTGGAGAAGCCAGTGCCCCACCTTGCCCAGCGCCCTGTCTAGAGGATGGAGTGTCTTTTTTCCAAAAGCGTCTTAGATGCTCTGCCATAAAGGAGGGTTATGAGATCTGCGGGATCAGGATTCCCACCAGGAGCCCTGTGTGGACTTGACTTAGAATTGCGTTGGATTCATGGGTCAGTTTGGGTGAGGCAGACGTCTATTACACTGTCTTCTCCCACATATGGAAATAGTGTCTTTTATACTTTCCACAACTAAAGACTTGCATAATTTTACGGTTTGTTTCTAGGTGCTGTATCAACTTTATAGCACTGGCTTTTGTAAATTATCTTTCTAAAGTCATATTTTTTGATCGTCACTGGTAAATAGACATTGGTTTTTATATGTCAGGCTTGTTTTTACACTTTTGTTGAGCTCTCATTAATCTCATTAAAGACTCGTCATCTCTCTCCCGAGATGCTGGCCCACTGCCCCACGATGGCCAGACCAGGGCGGACCAGCACCCTGGCCTTGTCCCAGCGGTCAGGCTGCAGGCTTGCTTCCCTGTGATGCGGTGGCTATGCCTTTCCTCATGAATGGGTGTAGTATTTGATGGAGTGTATTTTCGGAGTCTGTTGCTGTCAGTGTTCCTGGTCGAATTGTGTCTCCAAAAGATGTTGAGGTCCTAACCCCCAGGACCTCAGGGTGAGACCGCGATTGGACGTAGGGTCTTTCCAAATGTGATTAGTTGAGGTGCAGTCACCTGGATAGGGTGGGCCCTGATCCCGTGGGGCTGGTGCTCTTAGAGACACAGCGAGAAGCCATGTGACTACAGGCACAGATTGAAGCGATGTGTCTACAAGCCAAGAAGCTGGGGCAGGCCTGGAACAGTGTCCCTGACAGGCCTCAGAAGGAACCAGCCCTGTTGACACCTGGACCTTGCTTGGACTTCTGAGAGCATGAGCACCCAGTCGTGGTCCTGTGTACCGGGATGCCACTGCAGCTGGTATTGTAAAAAATTATTCTGTGTTTCTTGCATTCCTGGGATACTTGGTTTGTGTAATTTTGTAAATAGACTCAGGTTGCTAATGTTTTATTTAGGATTTTTTTTTCCACGTTGGTAAGAAAAAGCGGCCTGTGCTTGCCCACTCCTTTTCTGTGTTTGGCTGTTTTCGTTTTGGCTCTGAGAGCGCGGCGTGTCTTCTGTCCTCCGAACCACCGTCTGCTTCCAGGTGTGTGGCACTCGTACACCGTCAGGCCCAGGGCTGGTCCGGATAGAGTTTTAACTATTGATTCTATTTCTTTAATGCTTGCAGGAATGTTTGGGTTTTTTAATACCTAAATCCAATTTTATAAAATGTTTTTCTATTAAGTTGTCCATTTACCTGTTTATAAACACATTGGCATAAAGCTACTCATGGTGTGCTTCTGTTTTGAGATTGTCGTGTCCCTTGTCACCTGAGGTTGTGTGCGCATGCTCTCTCTCGTTCGGTTGTAGAAGGGTTTCTGTTTCACTGGTGTGTTCAGAGAACCCTTTTGGCTCCAGTGATTCTTTCATGTCTTTGCTCTTATTGGGCTTTATTCCACTTTCTCTGGTGTTGTTTTCTCGCCGCTTTCCTGACTGTGTTGGAAGTGTTGGAAGTTTAACTCTTTTGTTCCCACTGTTCTTTCTACAGTGAACTGGCGAGGCGCGGACTTCCCTCAGCTTCCGACCTCAGCTCCATTGCACGGCTTTGCGATGTAGACTCGGCATCATTGTTCAGTTTTAAATACTTTCGAATTTTAATTAAGCCTGCTTCTTTGACTCATTTGTAACTTAGAAATGTCTTATTTTCCAAAACCGTCGGTTATTTTCTTTCTTGTTCTTGATTGCCAACTGAATTTCAATTTGGTCTGAAAGCATGATTTTTCTTTTTTTTTTTTTTTGAGACTTGCTTTGTAGCCTCAATCCTGAATTTTTATAAATGATTTTTATGACTGCTTCAAAAAATAATCTCTATCCTGTTTGTTAGGTCTGGAGTTCTCTCTTTGTCAATTAGGTCAAAACTGTTCATTGCGTCCATCAGGTTTCTTACTAATTGTGTCTGCCCAATCTGTCAATTCTGGGAGGTGAAGCCCCCCGCTGGAATGGTGGGATTTGTCTGTTTCTCCTCCTTCTATGTAGAAGCCATGGAGTGGCTGCATATCAACTTGGAATCTTGTCTCCCTGCTGAAGTTTTCCTTTTGCTGTTACACAGTTGCCCTTTTACCCCTCCTGATTTTTGCCTTGAAGCCGACTTTGTTTGACATTAAAGCGGTGCCACTGTTTCTCTTTGATGAGTATTTGCCTCTCAACATCCTTTCCCAAAAGATAACCCTTCCTGCTTATATTTTAGGTGTGTTTCTTATAAATAATGGGTAGCTGTTTGTTTTCTTTTTCATCCATTCTGAACGTCATATTATATTTACTACGGTCGTTGCTGCAGGGAGAGGATTTCGCTCATCATCACTGTCTGTCCAGGTGTGTGCTTTTCATCGTCAGCCCCTCTGATGTCTGTGTCCGCAGGTGTCCTGCCTGTGGAGTGTCATCTTGTGGGGCCTGCCTTCCTCCCAGTGGCCCCATCCTGCCTTCTCTGCACCTTCAGCCCCGGGGCATGGCTGGCGGGGCGGGGGCAGCTAGGGGGCCTGGGATTTGTGCTGCGGCCCGGTGTGGGCAGCCCCAATACCCACTTTCTCAGCGGGTCTGATCAGCTGAGTAGGTCTCACCTATGCTCTGATTTTCCTCGTTTGCCAAGATTTTTCCTCTCTTGTCATGAACATTTATCCTGTGAGTTCTCTCTGATGTGAATTGCCTGTTTTGTTTTGTTTTGTTTTAACTCATTTTTCTGCTGGAGCTGCTGGCTTACTTTCTGTGCTTGCAGGAATTCCTTACACATTCCAGATGTCATTTTCTTGTTGGTTTCAGACATTGTGAAGATCTTCTACTTGGTCATCTGCCTGCTATCTGGTTCCTGGTGTCCTTGATTTTGATGCAACCAAATTTACTAGTTTTTTGCCTTGTGGTTTATGTTTATAATGCTTTGTCTAAAAAGTTCCTCCTTGGCCTAGGTTCAAAGATATCATCTTACATGTCTTGTGTTAGCTTTATAGTTTTATCTTTCATGTTGAGGCCTGAATCTGTCTGGAGCCACCTTCGTGTGGAGCCAGGAGGGACCGACTTCATCCCCCAAAGCCTGCATTTGCTCACGATGCACATGTCCCTCCGGCACACCTGCCGTCCATCTGCTCTTGCATGGGTGCCACCAGGCCCTTGGTCCTCTCAGTAGTTAAGACGGCCTTAGCTTGCTGTGGGCTCAAAGTGCAAGCCCGTGCTACTCCTGGGTCACAGTGAGTCCCATCCATTCTGCGAGTGAACTCAGTTTTGTGGTTGAGTCTTTAGTTTTTCTAGGTTGGCTACTGATGATAATTTTATCTCGTTCATATATTTAAATTTCTTGCTTTTTAAAAATCTCATTGCGTTGACTACATTTCCAGAACTGTTACATATCGGCGGTGAGAGACGCCCTTCCCTGACACAGCTGCCCCAGGAAGCTGTGTCCCCACGAAGGTGTTTCCACCCCTGGTTTCTTCTCGGGGCACCTGGCCATGTTTGGACAGAGCTGTGATTCTCACTGACCGCCTCGTGGTGCCCTTAGAATAGAGGCCCCCGTTCCAGTTACCTGAGCTCCTATAATCCAGGGCAGGCGGTCGGCATCCTTGCCTCTGCACAGAGCCTCGGTGGGGCTGTCCCTGTGCAGGGCAGGTGGGTCCCAGTCCATTCCATGCAGGCGATGTTTCAGGCACTCTGGGAGGCGGGCTTATGGCAGGAGAAGTACCTGTTTGACCTGATGAAGGGGACAGCTTTGTGGGCAGAAGCCAGGGCACCGAGGTCATTTCTGAGAAACTGAAAGGGCGAGGTGTGTGTTTTAAATGTGCCATATGTTTAAGTTATTGCACTTACGTTCATATCATTTTTCCACTTTGCTCATTCCAGTTCTTCACCACCAGGAGTGTTCCTCGAGAAGGACTACGAGATCTACCGGGATTACAATGCGGACGGCCAGCTTCTTCACTACAGGTGGGACCCGTCATCTCAGGCTCGGCCCCGCTCTGACCCGAGGGTGGTTTTCTTGGCAATTCCTGGCTCAGCTGGAAGAGTCTGGGTCGGCAGGAGGCAACTAGCTGGACACGCCCAGCACGCGGGGCCCTGCGCGGGGCAGTGGGGCGTGAGCAGCTGGGCAGAGGCCTCCTGGAGTGGCCCCTGGGCTCAGGTGGCAGCTTTTCGTTGAACAGAAGCCTTGTCACTGCCCACCCTGGGGAATCATGGCGCCCGTGGTGCTGCCCAGGCCTGTGGCGGAGGGACGAGGGCCTGGGGGTCCTCAGCACATAGCCTTGCTGGGAGCTCTTCCCAGATGGAGGGGAAGACTGGTTTTAGTCCTAGGGAGGGAGTCTTGGCCTCTCTTGGTCCTGGGTTTGGAAGATTCTAGAATGACTCAGGATTTTGGGGTGCAGCAGCCGTTAGGCTGGGCAGGACCATCCCTTGGCCAATTTGTGTGTCTGGCTGGAGCAAGCACCTCCTCCTCTGCCTGTGGGGTCTAGGCAGCCTTTGTGCCTCTGGGTGGCCTGGGTGCCCCCAGCACAGACCAGGAGTAGCGCCAGGCTTAGGGGACACTTTGAAGATCTGAGGGCCTGTGGCAGTTTGCTCCACAGGTCTAAGATTGAGCTGAGAATGGAAGCTGGGTTTGCACCTCGACACATCAGGAAGGGGAGCTGAGCCTGTCCTGGGTCCAGCAGTGTGGCTGGGAGTATTCCCAGCCTCCCTGTGCATCCATGTCCCCATCAGTAAAGTGGGGTGTGGGTGGTGACTGGACGGGGCCTCTGCACTGCGGCCATCCTGGGACCAACTTTCAAAGGCGCGTGGGGCCGAGAGACCAAAGATGGGAGCTGACGACCCAGAGCTAAACAGAAGTTCCTGAGAGAGCTTGTGGACAGAAGCCAGGGCTCGGGTCTCTGCACCAACAGGGGACGGGGTCTGGGCACAGGTGGCCTTCAAGGACACAGGCAGCTCATAGCCAGGTGGCACCGCTGCTTAAGGGCTGTGAGATCCAAGGCAGTAAACAAGTCCACGCCCACGGCCTCTGTAAGAACTTTCCTTCGCGACGATACCACCCAGCCCTCCTGGAGCGAACTGGTCACTGAGCACAGCTTGCTTCTTAGGGTGGCATCGGTCACATCAAGCACTGGGAACCATTGCCTAATGGGCAGGTCAGGTCAGGTCCCCAGCCTTGCCCACCTAGTCTTTGGTAGCCCACTGCTGCTACGGCCCTGCCATCCCGGGTGCTGGCTGGGCTGGACATCGTTCTGGGGGGTGCGTGCACTCAGGCAGAGCGGGGAGAACAGAGATGCTGATGTTTGTGGACAGACTGGGGAGGAGACGCCGCCACCCGCCCCAGGCACTGCAGGTGGGTCTGCCAGGAGCAGGGAGGCAGGAAGCAGCCCGTCTCGCTGCGGCCCAGGCCGTGAGCCTCACGGTGCACTCAGCTGGAGGACGGGGTAGTTCAAGTTGTCCCTCCAACGCCCCTTCGCATGTGCAGTCTGTTGCTGGTGCACGTGAGCATGCCCCTGGGAGCTGCGTCCCAGACTGCAGCTCGTGGTGTCAGGCCCAGGTGCCACATGCAGCGCAGGCGGCCGTCTGAAGAGGCGGCAGCGGAGCGGTGCTTCCCCTGGCTTCGGTTGTGCCCAGTGCTCTCCAGTCTTCTTTTGAAAGGAGGCCCTCAGAGAGACGTCCTGAGCTCCATGGAGCCCTGTCACTGTGCCAGCCCTTTCAACGCCCACCCCTGCCCCTGTCCACCTGACCTCCAGCACTTCCGGAGGCAGGGCGAGGGTCTCCTCCCCCATGATTCGAAAGTGTCCACCGAACAGCCACACCCAGGCAGTCGTCCCTTGTTATTTAGGAGCAGTGGTGTCTCCCCACCTTGGTGCCTCCCACCGTAGCGGAGATGGCAAGGAACTGGGGAACGGCTGGGGAGAAAGACCGGCTTCCTGGTCTGCGGAGCCATACAGAGGCGGAGGCCCGTGGGCAGACCAGGGAGGCTGACTAGAAGGGGCCACTCAGTGGTCCCAGGGGAACATACTTAAGGGACTCTGGATAAGAAGCAGATGCAAGGCCTGGAAAGTGGAGGTGAGAGTTCAGGGAGGACTCCCGAGGGGCACAGCAGTGGCGTCAGGTGGGGGTGCAGGGCAGGGGGCTGTGGGAAGATGAGTTAATTCCTCATCACGGGAAGTAGAAATCTCAAGCTTCTCAAGAAACCAGTTGTGCATTTTGGTCCCTCTCCCTCTGTCCTCTGATGGTCACTGGGCCACAAGTCCTACTCGTGAGGGGTGGGTGAGTTGGGAGCTGGAGAACAAGGTCAGTGGCGTGAGTTCAGGGTGAGAGGGCCCGAAATGGGCGGCGAGGCAGCCCACTCCAGCGCGCTGGCACGTGGCCCCCCTGGCACAGCCAGGGTCAAACCCTGCTGCTCAGCGACAGTCTCAGCAGCTCGACCTCCCCACCCCAAGGAGAAGTCAGACAGCAGCAGGGCTCAGGATGCAAGTTCCCATTCCTGGGGATTCTGCTTCTGGTTGCTGGAGGCCGCTCCCAGCCTGCCGCTTGGGCACATGAAAGATGCCCCACATCGCGTCATCAGAGAAATGCAAATTAAAACAATAGTCAGATACCACTGCACAGCCATTAGGACGGCCAACATCTAGAACACGGACAACACCAGATACAGGTGAGGATGTGGGCTGTCACTGCTGGCGTGAGCACACAGGGCACAGCCACTCTGGAAGACAGCGCGGCAGTTTCTTATAAAACTAGACATGCTCTTGCTATAGGAACCGGCGGTCATGCTCCTTGGTATTCACCTAAAGGAGTTGAAAACACGTCCACATAAAAACCTGCACACGGATGTCTATAGCAGCTCTATTCATAATCCCCAAAACCAAGATGTTCTCTAGCAGTTGATGGGTAAGTCAGCTGTGGTCCATCCACACAGTGGAACATTATTCAGCACTGAAAATAAATGAAATGTTAAACCACAAAAAGACAATGAGGGACCTTGGGGCATACTACCAAGGGAAAGAAGCCAGTCTGCAACGGCTGCACACCATGTGAGTCCAGAACGTCAAGTAGTTGGAGTCACATGGTATGCAGCTCTTTCAGACTGGCTTCTTTGGAGGCGAAAGATTTGCTCCTTGATTTGGCTTCAGATTTGGCCATGGACTGGAAGGAAGGGAAGAATAGGCAGAGGACAGAGGCGTTTTAGGGCAGGGAAGATACTCTGTATGATACTATAATGGGGGGTACGTGTCATCATACGTTTATCCGAACCCATAGAACATACCGCACCAAGAGTGAACTGTAATGTAGACAGAACTTTGGGTGATGACAATGTGTCAATGTGGGTTCACTGATTACAGCAAATGTACCACTCTCGTGTGGAATGTTGATCACTGGGGAGGCGTGAATATAGGCGGGAAACGTGAGGAAAATATATCCACTCGAGTTTGTTATTAATCTAAAAGTACTCTAAAAATTTTGTTTTTAAAAGGAATAAATATTCTTAAACCAAAATATATAACAAAACTAAGAATTCAGTATATGGGTGTCAGAGCGGATTAAACATAGCTAAATAGAAAATTAGTAAATTGGAAGGTAGATCAAAAGAAACTATCCATCGTGAAGCCTGGCGAGGCTGGGGATGGGAAACATGGCACACTGCGCGAGACCACGTGGCACATGACGGAAAGGACAGAAATAGGTAGATTCCCACAAGAGAGAAGAAATGAGATGAAGTAATACTTGAGAAAACAATGGTCAAGAGTTTCTAAAAATCATAAAACATATGAAGCCACAGTTTGAAACAGTGCTGTGGATCCCAAGCGCATGAAAATACTATATACAAAAAGAAAACCCTAAAAGCAGCTGGAAGTCGCTTGAGGGAGTGAGCAAGTAGCAAGAGCTCCCTGCCCCCCAGCCCCCGCCGACGCTGTGCTGACCTTAGGCAGGCAGGGTGCGGTGTGGATCTTGAGTCTGCACCTCCACGGGTAGTGTCGCCCAGGGTTGTCACCAAGTGAATCTCAGAAGAGGTGAAGTCCAGCATGACTCCCGCAGAGTGGAGGGGCCCAGATTCGGGCCCCACGGCTCCCGGGGTCGCAGGTGCCTTTAGTCTGGCTCAGGATTTAGCAGGCACCGGGGAGCAGTCCTGTCATCCCCGTCCAAGGGAAGAGTGCTGGCGAGGGCGGGCACAGGCAGACACTGCCCTTTGAGAGCTCACAGGAGCCTCTGGTTGAAAAGCGGCCTGAGATGCAGGTGCACGGGCGCGGCGGCCTTCCGCCGGTAGGAGCAAAGGTGGGTGCTGGGCCCAGTAGCGGGGCGGGAGGGAGTCCTGTCAGGCCTGTCCTCTGGGAGGGCAATGCCGGCTCTCCAACATACAAGGAGTTCTATGCTTGCTGCTGGGCTGGGAGCAGGGCACAGACGCACATGGAGAGGCCCTTGCAGGGAGTGTCATGATGGCAGCCGTCCAAAGGGGAAGCCCCTGGCCAGAGAGCGCCCTGAAGGGGGCTGCAGGGCCGACTCAGGAGGTGTGTGTGCCGGGAGACCCCAGCTGCTCCAGGCCCCCACAGGCTGCAGCGCCCATTGGGGCAAGGAATAAGATGGAAAATGACCAGACCCTCTGGGCCTTGCCTCCAGATACCCTGAGCCAGGGCAGGTGGATAATATGTCTGGGCTGGCAGCAAGGCCAGCCTTCCACTTCCTGTGTCCCTCAGGTAACCTGTGCCTGTCCCCCTCTCTCCCCAGGACCTCCTCCCTCCGGTGGAACTCCGGTACCAAGGAGCGCATGCTCATCAAAGTTGCAGACCGGGAGCCCAGCTTCCTCTCCCCGCAGGGCAATGGGTACCCCCTGGAGAGCCAGCCTGGGGGCCGCTCCCGCAAACCCTCCGGTGGGCAGCACTCACCCAGCCTGCAGACATTTGGCCCGGACGCAGACGGCCCAGTTTTTTTCCCCGAGCGGAGGCCATCCCCCTTCCTGAAGAGGGCTGAGCTGGGCAGCTGCTCCCCGCTGCTGGCCCAGCCCCGCAAGCCTGCCAGCGACTCACAGCCCTCCTCCCCGCGCTACGCCTACGAGCCCCCCCTCTACGAGGAGCCCCCGGTCGAGTACCAGGCCCCCATCTACGACGAGCCCCCCATGGACGTGCAGTATGAGGCTGGCTCGCCCCAGCGGTCTCCCGGTCGGAAGCCGCTACCCTTCCCGCAGTCGCCCAAACAGGCCTCCGCCTCGCCCTTCCAGCAGCTGGTGCTCACGCGACAGAAGTGCCCGGAGCGCTTCCTGAGCCTGGAGTACAGCCCCGCGGGCAAAGAGTACGTGCGGCAGCTGGTGTACGTGGAGCAGGCCGGCTCGAGCCCCAGGCTGCGGGCAGGCCCGCGGCACAAGTACGCGCCCAACCCTGGCGGCGGCTCGCTCTCCCTGCAGCCCAGCCCGTGCCCGCTGCGGGACCAGCGCTTGGGGGTCACGTCCGGGGACTACAGCAGCATGGAGGGGCCCGAGCTGCGGCACGCCCTCCCGCCCACGCCGCTGCCCCAGGCCCAGGACGACGCCATGTCCTGGTCCAGCCAGCAAGACACCATGTCCTCGACGGGCTACTCCCCGGGCACGCGCAAGAGGAAGAGCAGGAACCCCTCTCTGTGTCATGCCCCCAGTGCTTCGTCCACGGACAGCCCAGGGGACCGCGACCTGCTCGAGCAGGCCCTGGGCGAAGAGCGGCCCCCGAGTGGGCCCAGCTTGGCCCCAAAGCGCCCGGAGTCCAAGGCGGGCGAGGCCGAAGGGGCGCGGGGCGGGGCCGAGCCCTTCCTGGCGCATGCGCGGCTGGCGTGGGAGGCACAGCAGGTCCACTTCCACATGAAGCAGCGAGCCAGCTGGGACTCCCAGCAGGACGGCTCCGGCTACGAGAGTGACGGGGCCGTGCCGCTCCCCATGCCCGGACCCGTGGTGCGTGCCTTCAGCGAGGACGAGGCGCTGGCCCAGCAGGAGAGCAAGCACTGGCAGAGGGGCGCCTTGGAGAGGCTCGCCTTCCCCCAGATCCTGCTCGAGAAGAGTGTCTCGGTGCAGACCAACCTGGCGTCGCCGGAGCCCTACCTCCACCCCTCACAGGTAAGGTAGGGGTGCACAGCCAGGGTGTCGGTGGGGCACGGGTGGGGCAGATGGCATCCCCAGACCTGGTGTAGACAGGCAGCCAATGTCCCTGAGAACACCACCAGGGCAGGGCGCCCTCACCTCCTTCCACAGTGAGGCAGGGCAGATGTGACAAGTCACCAGGGGCCAGGCCATGTTCTGATTCCAGGCCACGGAGACAGGGGCAGTGGGTGGGCAGCTGCTCTCTACTGGACCCCCGGGGCCTCTTTCTCCTGCCTGTGAGTGGGCTCTTGGGTGACGAGCTGTGCAGGTGGAGTGCCAGGGCTGCTCAGATAGCTCCCACATGCAGGGAAGGGACCAGGAAGCACTTAAGGGCCCCAAGTGACTCCCAGGGCCCCGGGCTGCAGCTGGGGCTGAAACAGAGGCCCAGCCTGATGTGCCTTCCCTAGGCAGTAGTAGGCACAGATGATGGTCAGATTCTGCCATCCAGGTCATGTGCCAGGAGCTCAGTGCCCCAGGACTTGGTGTGGGCCGATGTTCTGGTCTTCACCTCCTGACCCCTGATCTTTCACACCATCTGCTTCATGAAACCTCGGTGGACCATCTGCCCTGGCATCTGCTCAGAGCTGGCGGTGGCCAGAGGGCCTCACAGTGTCAGGCTATCTCAAGTCTACTTCCAGCTCCACCAGGGAAGGTGTGCCCAAGGGCCCAGTGACCTGGAGCATCCAGTGTCCCCCATGGCAGGGCTGCCTTAGTGCCCCTCCAGGCTGGACTGTTCAGAGCACATTCCTGTCCACGGCTCATATACAGGAAGACAGCGGACAACAAGACAGGAAGAGGCTTCCTCCCGCCCCCAGAGTTGCCCTGGCCCCCCAACCCTTGGTCTCAGGAGCAAGGAGGGCGTGTCCTGGAGGTGGCGCCCCCAGGATGAAGGTTGCAAGCAGGGCCTCCTTGGGTCCTTGCGCCCCCTCCTGCGGGGAGACTGCTATAGCACGTCTGCTGGGCGGGTGGAGCAAGAGGCACAGCGCCTCTCACCTGGCTGGTCAGGTGGGGCCCCACCCCTCACAGCCCTTCTGCCCTCCTCAGTCCGAGGACCTCGGCACCTGTGCCCAGTTTGAGAGCGGCCGGCAGACACGCAGCGTGATGCCCAGCGCCAGCTGTGTGTTCCCCACGTTTACCCTGCGCAAGCCGTCCTCGGAGACCGACATCGAGAACTGGGCGTCCAGGCATTTCAACAAGCACACGCAGGGCCTCTTCCGGCGGAGGGTGTCCATCGCCAACATGCTGGCCTGGAGCAGTGAGCCCATCAAGAAGCCCATGATTGTGACCAGTGACCGCCACGTGAAGAAGGAGGCATGCGAGATCTTCAAGCTGATCCAGATGTACATGGGCGACCGACGTGCCAAGGCCGACCCTCTGCACGTGGCCTTGGAGATCGCCACCAAGGGCTGGAGCGTGCAGGGCCTGCGGGATGAGCTCTACATCCAGCTGTGTCGGCAGACCACCGAGAACTTCCGCCTGGAGAGCCTGGCCCGCGGCTGGGAGCTCATGGCCATCTGCCTGGCCTTCTTCCCGCCCACACCCAAGTTCCACTCATATCTGGAGGGCTACATCTACCGGCACATGGACCCCGTCAACGACACCAAAGGTAAGGCCCAGCGCGGGCCCCGTGGTGCCTCAGGCTCTGCCGCTAGCCAGGGGAGGGCTGCGCCCAGAGCTCCCTGGCTGGCACCACGCAGCACCTCGGGGCAGCAGGTATGTGGGGGCTAGCGCAGCACCTCCAGCAGACACGTGCATCTCCTGAGGGCCCCGTCCTGCTTTGCACTGGGGCAGGGGGTCCTCAGGGAGCCCTTCCTTGGCACTGAGGCCCTGAGAAGAGCCACAGGGGCCCTGGCCACGGTAGCTGGTTGCCCTGGCTGACAAGGGCAGGCAGGCCCCAGTCGGCCACGTGCACCTGCTGCTTTCGCTTTCAGCTGTCCTGTGACCAGGGGGGTTCTTCCTGAGAGCGGGTGGGGAGTGGTGCCCATAGCACGTATCCACCCAGCACTGGGTCTGGTGAGACCAGCAGGCTGTTGGGTGCTACAAGCTAAGCTGGTCCTGAGTTGCTGCAAGGAGTCGGAGGTTGGGACCAGCACAGGTTAGCCACCTGCTGATAGCTTCCTGGGGCCCAGTGCATGATCAGTTTCTGCTGTGGACTCTAGAAGGCCACACGTCAGGTTCTTCTGGTCTGGGCCTGGCCCGCTTGAGGGAAGGCTCAGGGCCATGTTCCTTCTAGGCAGAGTAAGCATGGGGACAGGGCCATAAATAGCACCTGCGTCTGCAGCAGACCGCCCCATACCCCAGCGGCTGTGGGTGTTCATAGGGCTGAGGCGCAGTGTCTGGACACAGTGTGTGAGCGCACACGCTCACATGCCCTGCAGGTCAGATAGGCCACAGCCTGCCCTGTAGGAATGACTGTGTACCCCATCTGGCCAGGGCCTTGCCCCAACGCAGGTGTGGGGCTAGTTGTGTGCATACAGTGACAGGCTGCAGGGCCCCAGAAAGGGGCACGGAGCATGGGTACCGTACGGGGCGTCGGCCGCTTGGGGGAGGAGCCTGGAAGCCATGAGGTCTGTATCCAGGCAGATTTTGAAGCAGAATCCCTGAACATAGCACACAGGTCTTGCCAGGTGGCCTCCTGCCCTGTGCAGATGTGCAGACCAATGGGTCGCCTGGCTCTGCCTGGTCTTCTCAGGCCTTTCCAGAAGGTGGGCTCACAGTTCATCTCAGCCTCTTCCAAAGGCCTTGCAATGTTACTGCCTTGAGCTGAAGGCTTGGAGGAGTGTCCACTGCTTGGCATGCAGCCCCGGGGGCCCCAAGGGGTGCTTGCCAAGTGTGAGAGGTGAGTGAGCCGTGTACAGAGGTCGGAGGCTCCCGGGGCCGTTGCTGCCAGCTGGGGCTTCCACAGGACACTGCTTCTGGGTACAGAAATGTGTGCGCCTTTCTCCTGGTGTCCGTGCTGTGTGACCTTCCTAGCATCTGAGAAGCAATGGGATCAGCCTAGGCAGCCGTAGCTGGGTGAGGCCCAGGTGGTATCAGAGCACCCTGCGGTCTGGATCCACAGAGTTTGGGTCTCTGTGACTTGCATCTGGGCTGTGGCATCTGGTCTCACACCTACGGCTTCTGGCCGTCCCCAGCAGGAGCCCCGTTCCCAGCCCTGAGACACACTCCCGGTGGCATCTGCCATAGGCCCTGCTCAGCACTGAGCCCAGAGGAGGGTCCATGCGTTTCCTCCCACAGGCCCTTCAAGAACGTGGGTGCTGGCTGCTGACCAGGAAGGATGGCCCTGTCTGCCCGGGAGGGTGTAGCTTGTGCTTACAAAAAGGAACCTGGGACCTGGTTCCATAGTGTAGCAGTTAGCATGTCCGCTTTACACGCAGAAGGTCCTGGGTTCGCGCCCCAGTGGAGCCACGGTCCCTGGTCTACGGCCACGCCACCCTGAACACGCCCGATGTCTGATCTCGAAAGCTAAGCAGGGTCGGGCCTGGTTAGCGACCGCCTAGGAAGACCAGGGTGAGAGACCGCCTAGGAAGACCAGGGTGTTATAAATAATAATAAGTAATAAATTGAAAAGGAGGAAAGAAAAAGGAAACCGTAACTTGTCCTGGATGCCGGCCAGGGCCGAGCCGGGCCTGCTCCTGTGTGGGGTGCCTCAACCCGAACCATGCTGCCAGCCTCAGCCTCAGTAGCCTTAGATTCATCTGCCAGCATGTATGTAAGGTCTGGTGTGCGGTCACCACCCTGGGGGACCAAGGTGCCACTTGGTGAAACCTGGTCTATGTTTCCTCAGCCCCCCCAGCTACCCTCATTTCATACATGGTCACACCGCCGTGCCAGCCATGAGCAAAAGGTTTCACAGCTTGCCGCCCTGGGGCCGCCCTCAGCCGCTCTCACACAAACAGGCAGGGGTGCTTGGGGGTGGACACAACAGGCTGCAGCTCTGCCACCTGCTCTGCAAAGGAGCACGCTGCAAGGCCGCAGCCCCTGAGTGCTTTATTCACTGCTCAGGCATTCGTGCCGCAGCAGTGCTTACAGGCATCCAGGTAAAGATGGCAGATCGAACCCGTGCATTTACTGGGACTCAAAACTCCTGCTTTTTTACAGTGAAGGAATTTTTATGAAGCAGGAAACAGAACAAAGATCCAGCAAGTCTTCTGGGTACGTGCCCAAAAGAAGTGAAAACAGAGACGTGAACAGATATTTGTACACCAATGTTCATAGCAACGTACTCACAATAGCCAAGAGGTGGAAGCAGCCCACGTGTCCATCGATGGAGGACCCGACGAACAAAATGTAGTGTATTCAGAAAATGGACTATTTATCATTCAAGCCTCAAAAAGAAAGGAAATTCTGACACAGGCTGCAACGTGGATAAACCTGGAGGGCGTTGGGCCGAGTGGAAGAAGCCAGTTGTAGAAGACCGAGTACTGTGTGATTCTGCCCGTTAGAGGCCCTGGAGTAGTCAGACTCAGAAACAGTGTGTAGAGTGGAGGTGCCATGGGCCAGGGAAGGGGGAAATGGAGAGTCGCTTGATGTGCACAGTGGCCATTTGGGAAGGCGAGAAAGCTCTGGAGATGGACGGTGTTGATGGCTGCACAACAGTGTGACTGTCGGTACCACCGAGCCGCACAATTAAAAATGACTAAAATGGTAAGTTTTATGTTGTGTATATTTTGTCACAATAAATAAAAAAATGAAACCCACAAGGACAAAGAGAATGGATGAGGAAGAAGAACTATGTTCTGGAAGTCAAGAAGCGCATAGACGAGTCACAGGAAGCTGACTTGGCAGACCAAGAAAGGTGGGTCCCAGGCAGATGGTGGGAAAGCTCAGAAGCCCAGGCAGATAGCACACCTTTAAAAGCTCAGCAGTGGGCGGAGCCAGTTTCCTCTAACAATGGTTTGGAAAGGGACTGATCTTGAAGCTGAAAATAAAAAAACTAGTTGAAAATTTGTTTAAGAAAAAAAGCAGCTACCGTGGAGTAAGTGAGAGCATAGATTCTGGACCCAGAGCATCTGGACTCAAATGCCAGCTACATTTTCAAAATATGCCATATTCTGATCCATAATACAAGTCTCAATAAATGTTAAAGAATGTAAATCATAGAAAGTATGTTCTCTAACTACAATGGAATTAAAGTAGCAATCAGTAGATAAAGATATCTGGAAAATATCTGGAAAAACCCCAAGAATTTGGAAACTAAAGAACTTAATCTGTGGGTCTAATAAAAATCAATTGGGAAATTAGAAAGTATTTTGAACTGAAAGAAAACGAAAACAAAACATTTTAAATTTGTAGGAAGCAGCCAAAGCAGTTCTTAGAGGGAAATACATACCACCTAAATGCCTGTATTAGAAAATGAGATCTGAAATCAATGATCTCAGTTTCTACTTTGAGAAAACTTTTTTTAAAAAGTAAGTTATATTGAAAGTGAGCAGAAGAATGGAAATAATGAAGATCAGAGTAGAAATCAGCGAAAGGGAAAATAGAAAAATAATGTAGAAAAATCAGTGAAACAAAATAGATTCTTTGAGAAGATCAATAAAATTGATAAACCTCCCGCCAGATCAGGACAGAAATAGAGAAGACATAAATTACCAACAGCAAGAACAGGAGACGATATCACTACAGAGTCAACAAATGTTAGAAGGATAATAAGGAAATGTTATGAATAACTTTATGCCAATAAGCTCGACAATTTAGAAGAAATAGAGAAATTCCTTGAGAGACACAAACTACCAAAGATAACTCAATAAGACATAGATAACCAGAAAAAAATATATCTATTAAAGATACTTAATTGGTGTTTGAAAACCTCCCCACGAAATCTTCCAGGCCCAAATGGCTTCCCTGGTGAACCCCACCAGGCATTTCATTGTTCCTGTGACAGTGCTTTACAGACTCACCCAGAAAATTGAAGTGGAGAGGATATTTCTCAATTCATTCTACACCAGAATTAGAAAAAACATTGCCAGAAAAACATCGCAACACAGACTGCATCCCACATGAATGCAGAGCTAAAATCGTTAACAGTATTTTAGCAAATTGAATCCAACAGTAGATAAAAAGTATAATGCATCTTGAACAAGTGCGGTTTATTCATTAAACCAAAGGTTGGCTTAACATTCAAAAATCAATCATAATTTGCCATATCAACGGAGTGAAAAGGAAAACCACACGATCATGTCAGTAAGTGTAGAAAAGCATTTGACAAAATCCAGCATTTTATTCCTGATAAAAACTGAACAAACTAGGAATAGAAGGGAGCCTCTTTAACCTGAGAAAAGGCATACATATATACACTTACAGTACCTAAAAGAGTGGGCAGCAGGGACGCAGTCAGATACCTGTGCACCCAGGTCCACAGCAGCATCCAAATGCAAAAAAGTGGAAGCAGCTCAAGTGTCCAGAGGATGAGCGGATGAACACAATGTGGTCTGCCCACACAGTGGGATGTTTTTCAGCCATAAAAAAGGAAGTTTTTTTTTTTTTTTTTTTTTTTGCGGGGGCGTGGTGGGAGGGTGGAATTTTTATAAGAGTTTATTTGAGCCACATTGACCATATATGCCAGGGAGGGAGCAAGATCTCAAATGCTCTGGAGAATAACAGTTTTGCAGTTTCTTTTATGCATTTGAAATTGAGGTGGGACCATGAGGCAGATGATGTAGAGGTGGGCGCGAGCGGGGCGCGGATGGGTTACAGGACAGCTCACAAGGCTCTGCTCTACTGAGGGTTCAAGCCCCCTTCGAGGTTTGTGACTTCTGGCATCTCAAAGGTAGGAAGTTCTAATATATACAAAGTCTAGATGAACCTTGAAAAGAGATGCCAATGAAAGAAATCACACATAAAAGGGTAAATATTGTATGACCCGGCTTATATGAAATATCTGAAGTAGACAAACTCATATAGACGGAAAGCAGATTAGAGATTGCCAGGGGCTGGGGAGGGGCTAGGGAGGGGCCACTCATGGGAACAGGGCTTCTGTCTGTGGGATGGAAGCATTTTGGAAGTAGGTGTGGTGACGGTTACACGACGTGATGGATGCTCTTCTCAGTGCCACTGAGCTATACACCTGAAATGGTTCGATGGCTATATTTTTACATTTTACCACAGTTAGTGGGTAAATAAAACCCTAGCTAGCATTATACTTATGGTGAAAGACTGACTGCTTTTTCCCCAAGATCGGGAACAAGGCAGGGACCCCCTCAGCACATCTGCTCTACATGGCACAAAAAAGACACAAAAGCCATCCAGACCGGAAAGGGAGTGTGCAGTTGTCTTCATTCAGACAAGACGGTCTTCTGTGCACAAAATCCTATAGGATCTATAAAAATACTACTAGAACTAATAAGTTTAGCAAGATGCGGGATAGAAAAAGCATGTTTCTATATGTTAGCAACAAACTATTGGAAATGAGTATTGTAAAATATCACTTGCAATAGCATTTTAAAACATGATAAACCTAGGGATAAATCTGACAAAGATGTACGAGACTTCTACGCTGAAACCGCAAAACATTGCCGAGAGTCAGGGAGACCTGGATTAACGGAGAGATACCACGTTTACGAGTCGGAAGGCTCAGCATCGTTGAGATGGCAGTCACCTCTCCCCAGATTGTTCTGTGGGTTCAAAACCTTAAATTAAAAGGCTGATTTTAGAATTCATAGAAAATGCAACGAACCTAGAATAGCCTTAAATACCTTTGAAAACAAAGAATGAAGTTGGAGGATTGACGTTACCTGACCTCAAGACAAAGCTGCAGCGACCAGAACATGGTGTTGGCGTAAAGGGAGAGGACGGGTTGCAGGGGCAGAATGGAGCCCAAGGACAGACCCAGACGGACGGGGCTCTTAGTTTTCCACAGAGACGCAAGGGCGGTTCAGTGAAGAAAGGGCAGCGTTTTCCCCAAATGGTGCTGGGAACATTGGATGTCCAAACGCAGAAGGATGAGCTCCCACCCATACTTTGTACCATAGGCAAAAATGAGCTCAGAAGGGACCACAAACCAAAATGTAAAACTTAAAACCATAAAACGTCCAAAACAAAACAGGATAAAACCTTCGTTTTCTAGAGTTAGGCAGATAGGCACTATCTCTAAGAGAAGCACATTGGTAAATTGGGCATCATCAAAATTAAATCTACTCTTCAGAAGACACTACCAAGAGAATGAGAAGATAAACCAGTTAGTCACAGACACTCCAGGAGCGGAGGCGAGGCGAAGGGTTGGAGCTGGGGGCATCAGTGTGCACAGAGACATGTATTCGCGGCTCTGCGGGCTCTGTCAGCCAGAGGGCCTAGAGGTGATGACGCCCGATGGCAGTAAGCACACCTGGCCCCCAGGTTTCAGTTTCTAGTACCATCTTATATTGAAAGGGACCAGAGCTCCTGGAGAAACAGCTGATTCTAGGCTGATGTGGGGAATGTGTAGGATGCAGTGCCAAAGTGACACATGCTGGAGGGTGAGGGGGGTGATGGGCATATCACAGGACACAGGAGCCACCAAAGAGTGCCCAGTGCCCAAAACTGGAGCAGTTACCCAAAATGTAACACCAGTGTCTGTAATTCCGTACTGATACAAGAAATGATTAGACGGACCCCAGCCCTGCAGCGTGTGCATGGCCCGCCGTCGGCACAGAGCACAGTGCCGAGTGTGGACCCAACCCAGAGTTCCGGAGGGGCGGGGGGGCCCTGCCAGCTGTTAGTCCGTGCGGAGTGGGGGGCCCGGGTCAGCCTGGGAGGGCAGCCAGCCGCCCCAGGGCCTCCAGCAGCGGCGCGTGTCAGAAGGGGCTGCACCCTGCCTTCCTCCCGCCTAGGGTCCCGAGTGACTTTCCGTCCCAGGGCATGGCGTCAGCCGCACAGCCAGAAGCGCACGGGCAGCCAGGCATCTTTACGAGCACACCCTCCCAGCCCATTCCCAGGACCGAGCAGGAAGCGCCGCCCACAGGACACTCGCCCACCAGCGCTCCTGGGCGGGCGCGCGCGCCGCCCCTGCTGGGCATTGGCTGAGGACCTGGCGTTCCCATGAGGGCCCAGCCGGCCGGGGGACCTCATCAGGGCCACATCCGCCATGTGGGCGTGCGCTCCTGGCTTTGTGTTCTGTGCTCCTCACGGCTCTGTTTGCTCCCCAGTGACACAGCACATGAAAGAGCTGCTGGACAGAAACAGTAAGAAGACGTGCAAGTTGAGAAAGAAACCCAAGCCCTATGTTGAGGACCCGGATGGTAGGGCCTCTCTCCGCAGCCCGCGTGCCGGGTCTGCACAGCTCTGCTCGCTGGCCTTGGCCACCTGGCCACCTCTCTCTAACCGCTTCCGGGCTGGGGGACGGTGGGCGGCACTAACCCTCAGGCCTGTGGCCTCCTGAGCTGGCTGGAGACCCCAAGACACTGGCGGGGCTCCTGGGAGAAGCCTCACGGGGCCTGCGCCTTCTCCTGGTGCTCAGACCACCTTCCAACTTGCATGCTGGGTTCTCGGTGGGGGTGTGAGGACTGGTGGGCCACAGCCGGCTCGAGGCGCCCCAGGTAAGTGTTCCATGACAGTTCCCTGCGCTGACCTCTGGCCCAGGCGTCCCGGGGGCAGGGGACGGGCCCGGCGCAGCCCAGGTGTCTCACCCCCCAGCCCCACCCTGCTCGTCGGGGGCCCTGGGTCCGGAGCTGCACCCCGCCGAGCTCCAGGGAGGCCCTCCGTGCTAGGAGGCTGCTGGTCCCACTGCTGACCGCAGACTCCTTCCTGGGACCCCCCTGCTCG